TTCTGCTCAGACTCACCTTCAGTGTCAGCAGCTGGAAGCAGCAGTGTTGTAGCTGAAGCTCGGTCCGATCGTCTGAGTGTCTCTTTATGGATTAATAATCACAAAGTGTTTCCTGGTTTGTGTGAGGTGAGCCAGGTGAGGGGTGGAGCTTCCTCATACCTCTCCTCCTGCCTCACCTGTTTTTCAGCGTCTGTTTCCACAACAATGATAAAATCTGGGATGTGTGAGCTGTAATGTGCAGCAGCGTGTTGCAACAGTCTGAATCCAGCTTCAGGTTGAACAGAATGAAATATGAATTATTGTTTGCTGTAAGTCTGCTGGTTCTGGAGGCTCCTATAACAAGCTCAGATGACATTGTGGCGATCATAAACATATATTGTATTGAACACTGAGACAAGGAAATATTATTAATTTAATTTATTTATTTTTTTTATGTTCACTCACCTTTATGTCCTTTCCACCAATGACGTGGCCCAGTTTTTCCTCACACTCACAAGGCTGCCCCCTCTCTGCCCCAAGACAGGTTTCACAGATAGACAGTACTGCGTCTACCTGCTGTTGGAGTTTTGGGGCCCAGAAGTAGTAACAGTGGGAGGAGACTGATTTAGTGATTACACTTCCTTCATGGTTGTGCCAGAGGTCATTCACTCAGGACACTCCTTTAATGTGTCAAATTCTATTGTTCAGTGGTGGATACCTGCTTGTGACTGAGCATTAAATCCTTCTCTGTAAGCTTAACTTCTAACTCTACCTTACTCCCATCTAAAAAAGTGATGGGATGATTGGTAGTGACTTCTTTTGTAGCCAGATGTACTGCATTTTTTCCCTTAGCTGCAAGGGACTGATCCCTTTTATGAGGTCCACACTTTATCAAAGTCAGCTTCTTTTTTTTTAGTTTAGTCATGGTGCTGCACTGATGAACCATCTGCTATTTTAAAACCCCTAGCTCTCTAGGTTGTGCCAAACAAATGACCCTCTCCTTGTGCATAACCTGGTCTGAGCTGTGAACTCAGCTCATCGGCCTGAACAAGGCTGGCCACACTTTCCTGCCTTTTCTGCAAGCCGTTTTAGCATGAAGGTCTTTGTCGTCTGTGGGATAACAAGAATATCTCTACGGGCGTCCCCTTATACAGACGGTCCCGTATGAAAACTCATAGGTGGGTCACCAGATGGCATATAAACATGTATGAGTGTGAATGTACTCCCACAAAATGGGGACCGCGTGTATGTGAGTGTGTGCTTTTTTAATACATCTGGTGGGTGAGTAAACAGCTTGACGTCCATGGTAATGTATGTGGACATAGCAATGTGTATGAATAGTCTCACTGCACTTCGGTGTGAATGCAACTTGAATGTGTAACTAGCTTTCTGCAAAATGGGGACCTCATATGTGTGGATGTGAGTGTGTTTGTTTCAAGTGCTTCTGGTAAGTTCGTAAACAGCTCACAAAAATACTCCCAAATGGGTGGATACAGGATACCTGTCTGTTGCCCTGTTTTATGAATCTGCCTAAATATTATATCTTGTCCCAGCAGTATTGCAGTTTGTCAAAGAAGCTTCACTCCCTCTTTTGGCAAGAGTGTCAGGAGGAAACTGTAATTTTTTTCTACGATTAAGAGAATAATCCAGAAGTACGTCCTCTTATACAGAGGTTCGTGTATGTAAATTTCTGAGTTGGTCTCCATATAGTGTATAAATGTATAGGAGTGTAAATGTTTGCCCACAAAATATGGACTCATGTCTGTGAGAGTGTGCGTTTTAAGTACGTTTGTATGGTCGTGAAAATGGCTTGATGTACTTGTGTGTATGTGGACATCGGAATGTGTTTGAACGGCCTCACTGCTCTATAGTGTGAATGTAACTTGAATGTTCTCTCCATCTGTGTTGCTCTCAAAAATACTGAGAATAATGTCAATGAGAGTCCTCCTATACAGAGAGTCGTGTATATAGGTGCATACGTAGGTCCCCCAGATGGTAGGTTTTACACCAGGGTGCATGAATGTGTGAATTACTTTCTACAAAACGGGGACCTCATATGTGTGGATGTGAGAGTCTTTGTTTGAAGTGCTTCTGGTTTGTGTGTAAACATCCATCCATCCATCTATCCATCACTCCATCATCTATACACCGCTTAATCCTCACTAGAGTCACGGGGGAACTAGAGTCTATCCCAGCTGATTTAGAGCGAAGGCAGGAGACACCCTGGACAGGTCGACAATCTATTGCAGGGCAACACTTAGAGACAGACAACCAAGCACACTCACATTCCCACCTACAGACAATTAAGAATCACAAATTAACCTCAACATGCTTTTGGACTGTGTGGGAGGAAGCCGGAGAACCTGGACAGAGCCCACTCTGCACGGGGAGAACATGCAAACTCCACGCAGAAAGATCCCGGGTGTCCTCACCATGATGCGAACTGGCGACCTTGTTGCGGCGAGGCAACGATGCTAACCACTGATCCATCTTGCAGCCAGTGTGTAAACAGTTCACAAGATTACTTCCAACTGGGAGGATACAGGATACCCGTCTGTCACCCTGTTTTATGAATCTACCTAAATATTATACCTTGTCCCAGCAGTACTGCAGTTTTTCAAAGAAGCTGCATTCCCTCTTTCAGCAAGCAGTTTCACCAGGAAGCTGAAGGATTATGTCCCCTCATACAGAGGGCCGTGTATGTAGTTTAATATGTGGGTCCCCAGATGGTCTATGAGCGTATATGAGTGTAAATGTTTCTCACAAAATGGGGACGTTATGTATGTGAATGTGTGCATTTTCAGTACATCTGGTGGGTGTGTAAATAGCTTGATGTCTGTGTGCATGTTTGTACACATAAGAAAATGTCTAAATAGCCTCACTGTGCTACAGTGTGAATGTACTTTGATCGTCTCTCATCTCCATCCACTCTCTGTGATACACAAAACTTTTCACAACAGCTGTTTCTTTTCCTCATATTTCAACTCACTCATAATCAGAGAACATTTGATGTACTTCTCAAATATTACAGATTCTGAATCAATGACATGATGATAAACAGTGACAATATGAGGTTTTTATCTTAAATACTTCCTGAAATATTGTCATTTGAACAACTCTAAACTTTAAAGTGTTTAAAAAAAAACTGCACAACTATTGTCAATAGGCCATTAAAAATAGAATAAAGTAAAAGTTAACCGGAAAATGTTTGATTTGTCAAGCTAAAATTTCACAAGTATCTTTATGACTATCCATATTTTATACTATGAAACTTTCAGACAAATCAGAGATGCTCGAGCGGAAGTTCTTGTCAATAGCTAATGGTTTCAGATGAAATGAAAAACTACTTTATGTTTCAAGATAATGTTCAGTTTTTATACTTATTTTGTGAAGTCCACCAGTCCCTCCTGCAGGAAAACACCCCCACAACATGATGCTGCCACCCCCGTGCTTCACAGTTGGGATGGTGTTCTCAGGCTTTCAAGCTTCCCCTTTTTTCCTCCAAATGTAACAATGGTCATTATGGCCAAAAAGTTGGATTTTAGTTTCATCCGTTTTTATGCTTATCAGGTTCTATCAATCCAAAATAGTCAGGAAAGTAAAAATGCATGACCTACAGTTTCAAAAAAACAAACAAACAAAAAAATTACACATAACAGGACCAATTGTAATCATACACAAAACATTTATTAACTGCTGTTGATAGCAAATGAATAACAAACAATGACACAACAGGCAATGAATAACTGAATGCAGGTTTGATAATGAAAGTATGCAGTTTCTAAGTACACAGTGAGAATTTAGAAACGCTTTGGAATTCAGAAACCTCCAGTAATTTCTGGATTCTCCCGTGCACAGTTACAAAGCACTCAAGAGTTGATGTGGAAGAGCCCAAACAAAGCAAAATAAATGAATCCCAAATGTCATTGCAGGAAAGACCCTGTTTTTTTAAAGGGCAGCCTCCATTACTTTACATTTATTCATACATGTAAACTGTGTATTTCATAACGCACTGTGATAAAGTACTTTAAAAATGCAGCCAATGTCTGACAGTAATGTTCGGTTATTCTGTAACATGTAAAAAGCTCAAGAGCCAAAACAAAAATGATTTTTAACAGCAGGTGACTGTAAAAACACAGAGTGTGACTTGAACAAAGCAGTTTCAACTAAAGCAGCTTGATTCAGGAAGCTAAGAATCTCACTGCAGTGATGTAGTTTTATGGGCCCGTTTTAAACACGTTTATTTCTCACATTATTTCTCCTCAGTCAATAAAGTGTTGTACAGTAATGTTCCACGTGACAGTAACCTGTGCTGACTTTGCTCTGAGAACAATCACAGCAGATCCTAATAGTTCAATGAAACACGTGACAACATGTGTGGCGTTAACACAGTTTGTTATTATATCAGCTCTCATCCAGCAGACTCAGGTACAATCAACCAGTGTTGATATGTAAGGTGCACAGTGGCACAAATTTGAACATATAAATACATGATTTGGTTTTTGATGAACTCTTTTAAATGGCTCCTTTATACATATGAATCCAGACGGTGTTTATTGTTAAACAGTTTTAACCACTTCTGGGTCGACTCAGTTAAAATTAAATTTCTGTTTAATCAGCAGAGCAGTCACACATGATGCACTCACCCAGAACCACGTCACTGAGCTCCATAAAGACAATGTTTATTATTAGGTTCATTGATTAAATTTTTCAGCTTTACAACAACACAAGTATTATAATCTTTACCTCTTAACTGCTCTGTTCTACTGTCACAGAGACCTTCACTGGTAACATCTTGACTTTTTCCATACTTTCAACATACGGAAACATCCTCTGGGTGAAAGTGTGTTTGAAGGTGTGTATGTGTGTTTTAGTATCAAGATCAGAGAACGACAACTTTCCTCTGTTACAGTCCAGATTCACTCTGATCCTCTGGAACTTCTTCTGCACTGAGAGACCAGTGGAGGGAGATGGTGGTGAATATGCTGAGTATTTACCTTCATAGAACAATATCATCCAAAGTCCAGACTGTATGACTCCCTTCTTTGGGACGGACTCTTCTAACACACCCAATCCCCAGATTGTACTGTCTCCAACATCAACATTCCAGCTGTGAGTCCCTGAATTGAAGCCTTCAGAACCCAGAACAGAGTGATAATTATCAAACCTCTCTGGATTATCAGGAAGCTGCTGATAATCTCCACATTTCACACTGGTCAGATCTTCAGACAGGATGATATCTGGATATGCAGTGTTTGGGTCCAGAATCAGAGGAGTGTAGGAGACCACGTCCTTCATGTTGTTCCAGATGTTGAAGCTCAGGTTGCCCAGATGTTTGGCCTGGTCTATGAGAGCTCCTGAGGGCAGCTGTGGCTCCTCCATCAGGGGCCAGCGCTGGACTCTTTCCACTGCAGCCTTGTAGTTGTGCAGGAATGAGACGTCTTCAGCTCTCAGCTCGTCCTCTGTGGCTCTGACTGTGTGTGAAAGATCTGCTATGTCTCTGCTCAGAGCCTCCATCTTCT